CTCTTATGGTTGCGTTCTGCGGAGTATAAGAGCTGGCAGTATTTCTGTCACTACTGTACTCCTTCTTTTTCGTTTCTCCATTCATTCAGTATATTCTACACAACTGTGCTAATTAAAACCACAAATATAATAGGTCAGCATCCGACTTAACTCAGATATAGACAGCTGGCTGATTCGAACAGATCAGTCACAATGTGCCAGTATAAGGAGTTGATTTTCTCAAAATGTGGACACAGGTACGAAACAATGCAAAGGATCAATTGTATCCTTAGATTGATCGAATGTTTGTATCTCTGCAGCACGGAGGGCACTATCCCTTGATATGTGGTTGGCTATTGTCCACGTTGCTGTCGAGCTAGGAGGAGGTGAAGGGGGATATTGCGGAGACAAATAAGCAATTTATATCTTGAATTTTCTGCCACTTCGGCTGTAGTCTTGCTTGCACTATTATTTGTGTTGTTTAAGAGAAGGAATTCAGTGAAGGTGTTAATATTTCATCTGACGACCTCTCCGTCACATCTTTCAGTCATTTGCTAATATGATCACTTGCCTTGGACCTTCAGTAGCGAATAGAGTGGTCTCATTTCTGGAGGAGATGGAAATAAGCAGAGTGTCCCCACCGATCCAACATATATATTCCAAATTATGTTATGAGGTAAGGAACTGATATACTTCGTAGCAGTTACATGTAGGTACCAAGATTAGAAGTCTACATATACGTCGATGTCGATACATACCTGCATATACGCGTTGGGGGTGCACCAATATCACGTGATAGTATTCGCACGGATACTTGCGAATTTCGCCCGTTTGCCTCGTCATCAAATCACTTTGTTGACTTGCTCTTCACATCACTCCCAATCCATAAGAATGGCGGTCCAATTTTGTGGCCCATGTGGAAATACTCTCGACATCTCTCCGGATTCAATGGTTCGGTGCGATTGTTGTGGCTCCATGAACAAGAGTAAGCTTATCGTCTTCGCGCTAGATCGATCTACTAAATAACTAGTGTGCCCCAGATAAATTCTTAGCCAGCATAGTTAATGTTTCATCGACTAGCAATTTCCATTCTGAGCTTCGTCAGAAGCGAGACGACACAGCAAGTACAGCGTCTGGCAGCCGTGGATACTTGGCCCGCGGTTAAGGAAACATGCCCAAAGTGTGGTGCGAAGGAAGTTCGATACACAACCCTTCAATTGAGAAGCGCTGATGAAGGAACAACTTTATTCTATTTACTGTCCGGACTGCTCAGAAAGGTAAGTACATGAACCCCATACAGCCTTGACTTGGGTTGCAGCCACTTACAAGAGTAAAAGATGGAACGAAGGCAACTAAGCAATACGTAAGCTAATATGCGCCGCGACCATCGAAGACTTCATCATGAAAGCTGGTTAGATATCAGATGGAGTCCGTGAGGCCGCATTGATGTGACCATTGCTAGTAGAGAGCTAGTACAGGGGGGGATTGCTTGCAATAGAGAGTATATCCGAAACCGTGGTGCATCTTTGGAAAGTGTTCGGTTATTAACCGGCTATGCATTCATATAGGGAACAATAAATCCCCAACCAAGCATCAAAACTACGCAGTTGGAAAATGAGCAGCAAAATATTAGAAGTCCCAGGAGAGCACATTTACTTGTATTGTATGTTATAAAAAATAAATATCCGATTATCCGATATAAACTCAGGTATTTTCATCTAAGCATCATCTTGAGATAACAACTCACTTACATACTCAGCAATTACAAGCATCTTCTCTTCAGTATAACTCCTTCCGATAATCTGTAAGCCAACATGCGCCCCATCATATAATTCTGCATCATAATCCTCAACGGTAGCTTTGTCGAGCTCGTTCAAAGGAAGATAGGATGGATCATATACATCAATGTTCTTATCCGCCAGAGTGACTGGTACATTAACACTGGTGTAGTTCAATACATTAACAAATGCACTATAACCGTAATATTTGTACTTTTGAGGCCTTGCTGCCGCATAAGGCGCAACTGGACAAATAAAACCATCGACGGGTCGACCGGTACCAGTTAATTCAATAGTAGAGTTCCAGTAATCCATATATTCACTTTGTAAACGGCGTTTCTCGATGTTGTTTTCCGCGATTTGAGTACCGTTAAATTGCTCCCCTGTTGAAGTTCCAAATAGGTGCAGTATCTGTGGATGAATTTTTTCTCCCGAGAGAGCGAAAGCGTCATGAATATTTTTTCCTCCGTCATAGCGCCACGTATTGACTATAACACCCATCAACGCTTGATGAGAGTTAGCTGGCGGTGTCCATTCAACGACCTTATGCCCAGCTTTTGTAAGAGCCGCCGTGAGGATAGAGATGGCGCGAGCAACAGGAGGCTGGGGATTAACAACTCCATCGGTTTTCAAGACTCCAAATACAAGCGGCCCTTTCGAGGCTACCTTTGTGAGTTCTTTGGTTTCCGCTTCCAGTGTATCGCGCCATGGCATGTCAACAACCAGAGGATCGTATAACCATGGTTGCTGGGATAGTATGGCTTGAACGAGCAATTTAGCTCCAGCCGCTGTTGTGGCCATTGGTCCAACAGAAGACAAAACACTGTTCTGGCCATCCATAGAGGTTGCCATTCCCCTATAAGGTAATCGATCCCACGTTGGTTTAATACCGTACGTTCCACTAAATGCGGCCGGCATTCTGATTGAACCGGCGATGTCCGTACCAAACCCACCCGGCGAGCCTTTCAAACGGATGAGGGCGCCTTCACCACCAGAACTGCCTCCTGAGCAAAGAAATCGATTTTTCGGATTCCATGTATACTCAATAATGTTATTGAAAGTCTCGCCAGACATCAGTGTTTGCGGGCAGCTCGTCTTGCAGTAGAAAACAGCCCCAAGGTTGCGAAGTTCTCTGACCATCTCGCTCTCAAATGTTCCTTTTCTCGGATCGTCTTTATTCCCTTCAAAGGTATCCATCCATCCAACGTACCCCATTGTTGTCTCGACCCCTTTAACGTGAAATTGATCCTTTAGAGAAATTGGTACGCCGTGGAGCAGTCCGATTGGCTTTTTATGCTTGGCAAAGTAAGCATCGAGAGCTTTGGCCGATTCGATAGCCGCGTCAAAAAAGAATTCGTGCACACAATTAACCTAGTACTTTTTTAGTATATCTGATTATAGTGCTCTTTAATGAAGGATTCTATACCAGTTGGTGGGCAATAGATGCTCGATGGCAAAACGCCTCAGTCACTTCAACAGAAGTCCAGCTTCCTGCTGCAATCTGTTTCGCAATACCTCCAATATCGGTTTCCGTAATCTCGCTTTCCTTGCTGTTGAGAAATTGGCGGATATATCCATCTGTAACATCTTTCTGTTCCTCGGCAGAAGGAATTCTATCAAGGCGCCATTTCTGTGGAATGGAGTCAAGAATTGCTTGACGTTTTGTTTCCGCTTTTTTCTCCCAATTTAGAGCCATTATGCTAATATAAAGGCGAAATCCAAGTTGATTATGTAGGATAAAAATACGTAGATGTCGTTTACCATGGCCAGGTTACTGCATATCATAGCTAATGGCCAGCTCTATTTATGCAATTCAAGTATGCCTATACTTCTTCACAGTAAAGTATCTATTGTTCTTTACACATCCTTGTTCAATTAATTTCCAAGCTTGGTTCTTAGGCTCATTGGGCAACCTTTCAATTTGTAAGCCAGCACGCTTGAAACCGTCAATTCGACGCCGGACGCCTTCTGAACAACATATTTTATTTATATGACGTATTACTCTCTGCTTCTGATCTCTCCTTCTGGATAATGAGTCGTAAAGAATTAAGGTAACTACTTTTTAGAATTACTGATTACTATTGTATTTACTAATCACACTATCTTGTTTACTGATCATACTCGATAGAGCCAACTTCTCCAAAGAAATAACCTTATGAACAATTCTGCTCCTAAAAGAAGGTAGCTTTATAATAAATGGATAATATGCTTACCATTACGGAGAAGAAATTATTATTTTTAGCCACGTTTAGGGAGCGGCTATAATTGTGGCTCTGCTTATCTTTGACTGATATACATAGGTGCAGGCCAAGATTTATATTTATAGTGCTAAAATCTTGTGTATTTGAGGTAAATTGACAATAAGGCCAATTGAGATCACATACATTCTAATCCTCAAGACGCGGGTAGCAATTATAACGATTCAAGTACAGTCACGCCACTTTATCTACATGGCGGCTATTAGTGATTGATTGACGACGCTACCAGCGGCGAAGTTTATAAACCTCTGATGGTAGTACAAAGAGATATTATTTGTAAAGTCACTAAATGACAATTTAGCCGCTTCCGTCTAGCTAGGAAAAATAGAGATTAATAATATGTTTAATCATGAATTTTGGGCATCCTTAATTAATAAAAAAACAATCCACTAGACAACGCATGCCTATAAAATACAAGTTTAAAAGAATTAAGCTTGGTTTAGCCGCTTTCCAACCGTTATGGTTTAAAAGAAGGGAGACCAGAGCAAGAAGAGTAGTAACGAGAAATGGTTCGTTGTCGGCCGTGCGTGATTGCATCTGGATGGCGGCATAAGCTGGCATTTGGATTTCTGTACTATGTTGAGGATAGTCCAAATAGCACCAATTTTAAGTTCATAAATATGAACTCATCGAAATGTTTACACAAGACTAGGATTTGATATTGGTTGAGAGAATATAGAGCCTATCCTAGCCGAAGACTTCAGCTACTTATACAAGTTGAGGTGCATGATTTAACACATCAAGACAGCATATATGTGCTCAAGGAGCAGCTGATCGAGAATGTCAACCTCCGTATTACAAGTGTGCCGGAAAAGCGCTGCTACTGTAAGAGGCGTGTTGGTGTATGCCCGACGTAGAAAGCCATCTAAATCGCGGTGCAAAAGCATACACTTGAGGCTCATATGCAAAAATAATTCAACAGCTTTCAACTAGAAGCCTCGAGCTCAGTTTGGTGATCATTGATTGGCTATTTGTCACGTGATTTGCCCGGCTAGCTCAATCGGTAGAGCGTGAGACTCTTATGAGGTACACGTTCTGTATTACAATCTCAAGGTTGCGGGTTCGACCCCCGCGTTGGGCTTTTCCTATAACATCACCAACACTGAGTTGGCTTCATTTTTTGCTGTTTCTCCATAATCCATGCATTTTCCTTTACAGAAGGGAGCACGGCGAATCCTCCACGGACATTTTCCATTACTACCAGTGAGACTGACTACACCTACCTACATGCTTGTTCAGCTTATTGAGCTGTAATACCTATTGCAAACATAGATGGTAGAATGTAGTCATGATGTTATAAATGGCACTTTCAACTTTTGCCTGATAACCTACTCAACGCAAGGTGTATCTATCTTGATGCGGTAGTATAGATATGGTATGTTTTATGCTTACAATACAAAACTCTGTACGCTCGTCTATCATCATCTTAATCAGTAGGATAAATGCTAGATTACCCCAAATAATAACTATGTGCGTATGCAGCGCGGATGAGCCCAGTGAGTGTCATAACCAGCCTCTAGTGCCAGAGAATGCATATAGAATCGATGACCACAAAGTTCAGTTAGATCTAGTCATCTATAGTAGAGCTGGAGATTTTCCCATCAGCATCAATAATCGAACACTGTAGGCACATTTCATATCGTGGTACTATCTGTTTTCCTATACGAAAATCACAACCATGAAACTTGCCCAGCACTATTACTTCCAACTTTTATTTTGGAGACAATCTCACCCTGAACAGCATTCCTACCAAGTGCGTCAAGCCTGCATAGAACTCTCCCTGTCCTTCTGCTTAGGTACGTCTATAATAATCGCATATATGTCAGGCTGCACACCAGTTTAAAAAGTGTCTTATGTTGAACACCTATTGAGGCAGAGCCGCTTGCACTACGTGCTACGTGCTTCGTATCATCTTTCGGGTCCGAACAGTTGAAATGGCGGGGAAGCTCTCAACTGCCGCGAAGGAACCTTGGTCGCATTAACATCTCACCCCGCGTTGCACCTACTAACACTTTCAATTCGGCCAGCGGCATCATCCATATTTAACCATCACCACCGTTGCCATGTCGATCCGAGAGATCCATGAGGAGAATGAGCGAATAGCTCGCGGGATGAGGCTTCTATGGCTTCAGCGTCAACAGGAGGCACGGCGTTCTGTTATTCCACGCTTCGGCCCTGCTGTCGACGGCGTCCTTTGGAGCCGAATCCACCCAGACGAAAGCCCACCAGTACCGATCCTCAGTATCCTCGAGTTCAGTTTAAAGTCTGGGATCGACATCTTGGATAACTCTAAGCCACCTCGTAAACTATGGGACTCTGTACTGCAATACGTGAGATCCATCTCTGGTTGCTGCGCCGTCAAATGGGGACCAATACTGGATGATCCTTCAGCCACTTTGCTATGCATGATTCACTGGGATAGCGCCGTCGACTGGCAAAAGTTCCAGTATTCTCTAGGCTTCAGCCCTCTTATTGGGCTGCTTAAGTCTGAGGTTTCAAATCGTTGCGCCAAATTAAACTTATCAGGTGTATTATGGCTTGATGGAGTTACCATTGTTGACGTCGTGTCAGTCACTTTTGACACTCAAGCTATATCATCGCCGGAACTTCGTGCAGCTTTTGAAGAGAACTGGAATACACATGCCGCCTCAATGAACAGGGAGTACGAAGGCCTTCAACATTCTCATACCGTATGGCTCGAGAACAATGCATCGACGTTCTTCGATCCAACGCCAGCTGAAGCTGCCGCTGCGATCACTCTGACCACTTTCATCGCGTTTCTTGCCTGGGATGGAGAACAATACGATAATGACTGTACTGAGCGTCTATGCGATAGCTTTCAGTCTTCACTCTCATCTTCTAGCGGCAATGAGCCAACGATCTCAAGAAAAACGGTCCAACTTATCAACCAATTTCAATACGAAGACCATGATCCACCGCGACAGCCAGCCATACAGTCCCCCAGCTTAACTTCTATTTTACAAGCGAACAGCCCGCGTCGTAGTAGCGCTGATATTGTCAATCTCAGAAAGCTTGCACATATGGCTCTCACCCGCAGTATAGGCGATGCAAGAGCGAGGACACGGCTCTTCCCAGCTCCACAAGGTTCATTCATATCCCAAGGTGAAGTATACGAAGGAAACATGCCAATGACCTGGAGATGGCAGCCAAGATTGGGGCCCATTCATGGCTATCACTTTGTGGATGTCGCTTGGATGTACTTGAAACCCAATGCTTTGCGAACTCGGGGTCCTCAAATATATAACCAGCTCAATAACGAGATTGGAGCATTGGCGGGTTTTGTCAAAGCCTTTTGGGCTCGTGATATAGAAAATAAAAGGAAAATTGCCGTGCTCACAGGTCAGAAATTAACCAATGATTGTGATTGTATTTCCGTTTGGCTGACCCATCTTATATATAGTCTGGAATAATGAACATGCACGAGAAGCTGCTTTACACGAGTATCGTCGGATATTGGATGCCTTTGCCGTATCATCCACACATCTAGCAGCGTCAATAACACACGAGGCTTTCCCCATGGCTCGCGGCCCCGTTGGTGTGTGGCTCGATCCAAGAAGTTACATCGAATTAACCACCTTCTACATCCCACAAGGCGCGCACGAATGCGAGCTCTTCGAACAAGCGTATGCCGCTTTTGACCGGTTCGTTAACCTGAATATCTATTAAAACACGTATTTATCACACTGGGCATTTCAACTAACTATACGCCTCTTGGTCTTGGTAAAAAGCATGACTGTACCTTCTCAAGTAGGAGGAGTCCCCAGAGCGTGCTCTGTTAGCGATGCAGGGGGCTGGCAGCCTGCAGAAGCCACTGAGAATCTGGACTACCAGCTTTTCACGGGAGTAATGATTTGGGAGAGCCCGGCCGCGAGAATAGAGTGGTATGAGGATCTATTTAGGCTCTCTTGCGAGTCCTATGAATTGTTCGGCCATAAGCTAGATGCTCTGAAACTTTTGGCTGCGGGAGGAGCCAAGTCGCGATTTCTAGCGCTTCAAAGTCAGTAGTTGTAATGCCATTAATTTGAGTAAGTTTGGTCTTGGTCTCTAGCATTGGAAATAATCACATCAATCTTGCGGATCATCGTTAATGTTATAGTGCTTCGAAATGGCTTTACAATCTATATCACTGTCTAATTAGAGGGGCGTCGTATTGGTAAAGCACTCGTTCCCTTAGATCTAGTATGACTATCAAAGTCATTTTTTAACATGAGCTACGCCGTTCATTCATGGCTTCTTATTCCTTAGGAAAAGCTAAATCTTTTCACTGATATACCAAAGGCTTATTGTTATAACATTATGATTTTTATTATTCTCATAGTCAGGCAAAGCCATTCTTGGAAAATATGCCTCCTGGCCAAAACCATGTAACCAAGAATGATTCAATACTTGCAAGCTTTGAACAAGCATATAGCTTGCGCTGGAATTTGTGTTGCCGCCCAAGTCCCCAACGCCAATAGTTCCCATAATTAGATAATGATTCATGTCTCTTTCCTCAATTCCAAGAAGAGAAAAAAAAAAAAAAGGTTCTCTTGATGTTTTCAGCTCTTCATCTCGTTTTCACCCCCTCCTAGCAGCGATACGCACAATACCGATGCTATCGCAGCCACGGTACCTAGAATCATCATCTGCAATCCTTCCCACAGGCAGCGCATCCAACTGGAAGACGCGCCTCCGCTTCTCAGCAGCCAGCTCTTGCCCGCGCCAAAAGACATCAAAGCCACCAGGCACGCCGCGATACTCCATCGGAGACCAAGGCCGACGGTCGCAGCGAAAAAGTATGGGAGTAGGGGAATGGCGCCACCAATGATGTAGCCTAGAGAGATGGAAATACCGGACGCTATTGGCGAAATAGGCAGCTGTTCACTGTTATACGAGTTTCCACTGGTAGAGAGTTCAGATCGTGCGAACTGTAGCTGGCGGGCCGCATCGTATAAGCCCTGGCGCTCTTTGACAGTCGACATGATATCCGCAACCATCCAGCTTGGCAGAGCGAGAGGCTCCAAGTGCCGTCTCACAAGTGCTTCTTGGGCATCTTTATTCTTCTCATCCAAGGCGTCGCTCCCAGTATCGTGACGCAGCATGCCCTTGAGCTCTTCCTCGTCGCCATCCTGGTCTTTCCCCTGCGCCGAGGGCAACTCGTCTTTCGCAGAAAGGTAGCCACCAATGCCCATGCTGATACTTCCCGCGCAGAGTTCAGCCAGGCCGGCGTAGATGACGGTGTCGGTGCGGCCAAGGGAGCTGAGGCCCGCGGTGAGGGCGAAGGGCACTGTTAAGCCATCTGAGAAGCCGAGGGTGAAGTCTGAGAGAAATCGGATGAGGAGAGGGCTTCTTGATTTTGACATGATGGTCGTTCTGGGTTATCGAGATAGGTGGAGAGGCGATTGAGAGAGACGAGCTCTGGGATAGCTGCTCAACGGACAAGGGGAAGAAAAAGCGAGATGAAGGGCAGAGAATAGGTATGGGAGGTGAATCGGCTTATCGGCTAGGAGGCTATCGATAGCTGTCTGAGACAAAATAGTGTTATAATCAAACAATCGGATCTTCGGCAGAGTTTCTTGGAGAGCTTCTTCTTAGTTTCGGAAGTGTTGGTAGCACGAGCTTAGGATAGTCACTCGGCCGGCGGCACAAGATCTCCAACTCTGGATCAGTTGAGCATGCAGTGCTACGCAAGAGTCCCTCAATCCACACCCTTGCGTCTCCACGCATGTTACATCGCCCAGACAAATAGCATCTGCATCCCCGGGGCAAACATTCCAGCTGCGCAGCCCACTCCTCATGCCCATCTCTGCGTCTATTCTATGTACTCGCCACACCAATCCAAGTCAGGACACCGACGGGTCATACCAGAAGGGCTCTTAACACCTCAAAAGGGGAATCCAATGTCTCTTTCACTGACCAAAAAAAAAATCCCTTTCGGCAGCTTTCCTGCCGACCAGCCGCAAAAGCTGATCCAGGCACGCTGACGGGTGGCTGCTCCAAGCAGAGGCTCGGTTCCGACCCACGTGCGCCTAAAGAACCCTGTGCTTAAAAACACACGAACGCTGATTTGGAGGGAGCGCG